CCTGTGGGAAATATCTGGCTCTTTGGTCGCTAAATTTTTACATGTTCACAAGTTGCTAACTGTCTGTCGATCAGGGCTGGACCTTAGTTATATAGTTGTTGCTTTTTGCTGAAAACAGCCGCCTGCTGCTGCTGGAGATAAGGCTGACGAGAGCTGTAAGAGTCAACCAAAACAGTAAGTCGCAAAACCAAAACAATGAGTTAAAAAATGCTAAAAAGCTCTGATTGGAGCAGCAGAGTTTGGTGTAGTTCTGCATGATGTGTCACTATGAGCAACTCCTTTCACATAAAACATACTTATTTCATCAATTGTTATTAAAAAAAATATTGATTAAAGAAGCCTGAATGACACCATGACTCACTCTGTATCGGAGTTATTTCTGTTTATATTCTAACATTTGTTTTTTGTGCCACATGTTCTACAGTGTCAACGTGGCACTTTGCTATAGTTAACAGCTACCCTGCCACCGCTGCGAGCAAGCAGTTGCTCAGAGTTGTTGAGTGTTACAAGGATGAGGACTCATTGACCTCATCCTGTGATGGTTAAAGAAGAATGGCAGCATGTTTCTCATCTGTGGGAACAATCCTGACCACTCTCTGATTGTTATTTCTACACAATGAAGCAGTTTCCCAGCAGTGGCCAGTGGCCCGCCCAGAGCCCAGTCTGTGGAGAAATGTCCTCAGTGTCTTCAGTCCACAGCTGCTACCAACAGTCCCCAAGTGAGACCAGGATGACTCTTACTCCACCAATCCCAAAGTCTGTTTTGAGGTTCTGGGGAGACCTGGCAACAGGAGCACAACACACCCAAATGTCCGGCCAAACTGACTGCAGTTCGGCTGCATTGTGGGTACTTTAGGTGCCAGGATTTGACAAGGAAGATGAATTTGTGGATTAAAAAAGAAAACGTATTGTTCTGCTGCATCAGTTTTCATAAAATTGTCCATCGTGAGCCTGACAATGTTACAAGAGAGCAAAACTAATTCAGCCTGTACTCTTGTAATAATCAGATTCATCCCAAGTAAAGCTGCTAATTTAAACACATTTAAAAGCAGCTTCAACTCAATGTACCCATGACGTGCAGGGATTAGGGTAGTAGCTTTTCATACAGTCCTGTCATGATCTCTGACAAATCAGAGTCCACTGCCAGGCCAGCTCCAGATGTTTTGTCTGGCTTTCTCTAACTCCCTGAAACCTGGGTACGTTTTTTTAACCATGCCAGGCTGGCAGGACTCATCCCTCATTCTGCCAAACGTCATCGCTTCACTCCTCAGTTTATTTGTGCACTTCAAGTTTTTGTCTTCTATGACCTATCCAGAAAACAGTGGGGCAGCGGTTGGAGGCAGCTGGTCTACACATCACCACTGAGCACCACATGAGCTCTAACATCACCCGCCTTGCGGTGCGAGGATGCAAGGGTGGAAGGCACCCAGTTATCATACACAGCCACAAGGAGGTCTGGCAGCGGTGTTGGTGATGAAATGGATGTGAATAAGTGGGGAAGGACTTGCGTACAGGATGGCCTAGCGGGTCACCACAAAGGCCAGCCAGTGGCAGCTTGTTGCAAAGGGTGGCGGCTGCACCTTTTTCTCTACTGCACACACACACACACAGTCCCACAGGGAACAACCATCATCCACTTACTCGAGAAAGCTGGTGATGTAGTCTTTGCTGCAGGCGGACCAGGAGAAAGGGTTGGTGTTGGCTGTTATATGGGCGGCCATCAGTTTGGCCGTCTCGTGGCCTTTGGTACCACAGGAATTCCCGATCCCATCGTGGTTCATCCCAAAACTGAAACACACAAAATTAAAATTGGAATTAAGGCAGCTGTGTATGACGGTCATCAGTAACCGCGGGTATAAAAGTGACCCACGCTTTGGCAGTTAACTGTTTAGATGAAAGTGGACAGCCCAGGTTGCCGTCTCCCTCAGTGGCTCTGGCTGTAAAGATCGAGCTCTGTGGCTCTGAAACAGCTGTGTGGAGGGGGTCAGGGGTCAAACCCTGTCTGGAGCTCAAAAGGCACAAGTAAGTTCTAATCACCACTCTGATGCCTGCCTGTCAATCACCGCCTGCAGGTCTGAGCAGGCCACGAGGAGCCGAGTGGAGCGAGGACGAAGGGATCCTTTAGATCAGTCTCTGAGAACAGAGAGAGACCCAAAACCCAAACAGCTCCCGACACTGTGCTCTGTTGTGAAAGCTGCTTAAGACTTTAAGGCTGAAAATAAATCATTTTAACAATTCATTTAAAAAAAAAAAAAAATCTTATCTGTCTGGATATCATTTGAGAGAAAATCTAATGTTACAGCAGGATGTCAAAGCTTACTTTTCCTTACAGTCCAGGAGCACAAATCAGGTCTAATGTATATAACAAACCCGACCACATCGCGCAGCCTGAACCTGTTTTTCTAAGGCTGGCGTTTATGACATTTTACCCTACTCTGGAAATAAATCAGCCCCAGTTGAAACCCCGCTGCAGCGTGTTTTTTTTTATACATCCTCTAGAAGCAGAGACTATTTTTACAACTGCCCCACAACAGAAGCAGACACGAGACATAATAAAGGAAATCGCCATCTTGCTGAACTCTCTCGAGAGGGATACGTAGACTAATACATCATCATTATTTTGCTTTATATTCAGGAAGAAAGAGCCAGAGGTATGTGGACACTGACATTTGCATGAGCAAATATGTGGAGATACAGTTCAAGACGTCTGCTGGGGGAAAAGGGGCTACATGCAGGTCTGGCGGACTCGAGCAGTAAGAAATGTTTGTTTAAGAGCGATTATTAGAGCACACAGGTTTTTAGATGATCTGAAGCAAGAGAAGGAATTTGTCATTTGGAAGAGGCTTGGACTCGAGTCGAATGTGTCAGACTGAATCTGGTCATGAATGTGATCAATATGACCTCTCGCAATATTCTACAGATGTTGATCACCAGAGTTAAAACATAATTTGGCAAAAATGCTTTTAAATATGCTGCCCTGACTTCCTGGTATGATGAAGAGAAGGACCTGGAATTAGCTAACTGTAACGGGGAAATTTAAGTCAATTTTAAAGAATCAAGAAATTAGTTCTCTTGGTCAATGTGATTGAAATCGTTTCCTGTTTATTCGTCATAATTGTTTTTTATCCTTGACCTTGTATTCAATATTACCTGGATATTGTGTTCGCTCATCTTTGGTGTCTATCTGTGTTTATTTATTTGTATTTACTGTGTGTCACAATGTTTATGGCCAGCTCTCTCTTGAAAAAGACATTTGAATCTTTAGTCTTTCACCTGGTTAAATAAAGGATATATTTATATATAAATATGATGACTTTAGACTGGACTTAACAAAGCAAAAAAGACTCGTACCTATACTGTCTTGCAATATATCATATATTGAATCATAACCCCTGTATTGTGATACGTATTGTATTGCCAGATTCATGATAAGCCCAAGATTAGCAAAGTCTACAGCAGGCCAGAGCTTCACACTTCAGAGCTGTCAGAAATCAGCAGACAAAAACAGAGTCAGAAGTCATATTAAGGGACCTTAAACAATTAGAAGAAATGAACAAAGCCGCCAGACATAAACAGCCAATAGTTTGACATTAATTAGATGCCAAAGAACGTCTGTCTAAAGGAAAGAGCTCCGTGACAGAATGAGAGGAGAGAATATTATACTGTAGGTGATGTTAAGGGGCCAGTATATTTGAACATTTTTTATTTGTCACTTTTTATATCAACAACCAGCTGCACACTATGAATGTCTTCAGAGACTTAATCACTATCACGCTTCACACGGCGCCTTCCACGGCGGCCGTTCTGAGCTATAAACACATTTGATTTCAGATGTGGTCGGAAATACAAACTACTTCTTTTCTGGTATAACCCGGCCCTTACACTGTCACATATCATAACAGAGGATGTTCCTCTGGACAGACCTGACCATAAAGACCCTCAGGCGGCTGTCGGAGTGAGATATTTTTTATTGTGTAAGTTGCCAGTGCCAAAATATGACAGTGAAATCATAAAATCTAAATTAAAGAAAACACTTCTCTGTAAATTGGCCACGGTGATGATAACATGGTGGACAGAATATTAATTTAGCATTAAAAGTCCAGTGTGTAACATTTAGGAGGATCTATAGGCAGAAACAGAATATACTATTCATAGCTATGTTTTCATTAGTGTACAAACACCTGAATGTAGGAATAGTTGTTCCTACAAAAACATGCCAGCATCAATACAAGGAATTGATAAGGACGGTGGCATACGATTTCGATGGATGGGACTATTGAACCATTTCTTGATTCCTGGAGTCCCCTCTTTAAGAATGGATCTGTGGATCTTAAAAACCTTAAAACTCACTTGTGGCCGATTTCGTGTGCAATAGTGAAAGCAGAACCAAGGCCGATGTCTTCATTGATGCTGCAGCTCCTCTCCGGCTCGCACATTCCAGCCACTGAGGCCAAGCCTAGACACACACACACACACATGCCAGACAAACATACAAACATAGGGTCAAGACGAAGCATTCTTAGGACTCAGTCATAAAATTGGGATTCCACACATATGATCTTCTGTTCACCAGGGGGAGTTTAGCAACGGCTAGACGTCTTTTTTTTTTTTTTGTCTTGCAAACTGCAGTGACTGCTGGGAAATGTCTAGACAAGGGTTAGATTTATACATTTCAATTCATGTAACAAGGGATCGCCTAAAACGCAAGCCAAGGAAGGGAATATAAGAACCCCCTCACCAACAGCGTACCCCACCAGAAACCTGTCAGGAAATATACATGTTTTCCTCATTTCAGAACTCGAGTCGGAGAACGAGGGAGAGAGAAAGGGAGAGGAGAGGGTGTTTAAACCTCTCCACAATCCAGGTGTCGCAGGTCCTTTTTTTTTCTTCCCTAAAACCTGACAGGTCAGATCGGGAGACAGGAGGCAATTCTTCACAGATTACATCTAGAGGTGACTGCAGAGTGGATCATATGACAGTGCAAAGCAGGTGTGTGTTGGGGGATGTGCGTTAATGTGTGTGAGGGATCTGAATGGGGTTAAATGTTTTCTCACTTTTTTTGACGTATGGAACCATGCAGGCAGTTCTGGTTTCATTCGCCCAAGTATTGAGATATCCGCCTCCTCTCCAGAACAGTGAAGTATAAAATAATCCATGTTAATCCCCAGACATTACTTGTCAAGTTTACATCCAAATTTGATCCATATTTTCAGAAAATCTGCAAAAGAAAATCCGAATATATGCACATTTCCATCCACTACTGTGATGCGAGAACAGTTGGTGGCACCAATTCTCCATTCAGGTGCCATTAAACTACTGCAGGAGAAGAGGGCACATTGACAGGATATAAATAAAAGAGGTCCAGTCAAAGCAAATGAAAACGATGTAGAAAACATGCTGGAAATATGACATTCATGTTTGTATTTTTAATGGTTTCAGTCCCCGTATCCGTATCCATACACATAGATTTGATGTCTTGTTTAACTCTCATGCTTCAGTCTGTTTCCACTGCACTTCACCAACTTTTTTCCAAATTTCCAGCATTATGACTTAAAAAAGCAATTAAAAACAGTTCAATCGGAACTTCTTCCTATCAAAGAGGAGGCAGATATCTAAGAATACGGCAAGATACAACAAGGGGTAAGTAAGCAGTGAGATGTTTCTTTGTAGTGAGTGCACAGACCCTTTAAATTCATCTCAATGAATTCAAGTCCATTTATTTTGCATGCAAAAACACAGTTTTTGAGATCTTTGCAAAGCGTGATATGGACAGAGGTGTCTTGCCTGCATTGGCACTCAGTGAGTAACCTGCGTGTACACATGTTAGTTTGCGTGAACTCCCTGACTGCCTGCTAAAAGTGGCATGGCTTTTGTGTCCTCTTTACTAAGAGGCTAAACAAGAATAGACTCGCAAATCAGGAGGCCACTGAAACCATTACTGCGGGGAAAGAGGGAGCCTGAAGGTGAAGAAAGAAGGAGGAGAGGGAGGGAAAGGAGGGAGGGTGGCTACTCTACGATTAGTTTAAGAATGTGTGAGTGTGTGTGAGAGTGAGTAAAGTGAGTGTGCGTTGTGTCGTGGGTGAGCGCAAACACAGACACACACACACACACACACACACAAACACACACACTGCATGCAAGTTGTTTTCTTTGCACCGGGGTGGACTGTGTATTATCTCCGGCCCCGTGATTACTCGGCGACCCTAAAGGCCAACGATCTGACCCGGGAGCATGATCCCCTGAAGAGGAGAGGGAGGAGAGAGGAGAGGAGAGGGAGGAGGAGAGGTAGAGGGGTGGGTGGGGGTTGAGACAAACGAGGAAGCCAAGCAGATGCCAGGGCAATTAAAGCGACCGGGGAATGTGACGAATGCGGTCAATCTGTCAAACCACCCCTGAAGTCACAATATTACCTCCAAGATATACTGTGGTGCCTGCGGGGCCTTGACAAAGATAAGATGGGGAGAGAAGGGCTGGGTGGTGGTGGGATGAGGGGTTGAAGAGGAGAGAGAGAGAGCAGCAGGGGGAGGAGGTGGGGGTCTCTGCCACTGCTTGCTGTCCTTTTCCCACCCCCCAATACAGCCACAACCAGCGTATCACCCTCTCTATCTCCCTTCTGCATACTCTAACACTCCCTGTAATTGTCCTTTTCCCCTTCCATTTTCCTTTCAACTCCTCCTCTTCTTCTCCATCTCCTCCTCCTTATCCCTCACCCCCCCCCCTCCTCCCCAGCTTCTCAATGCATACCTTTTCCTTTCTCTCTCAACCCGGTGGAAGTGTAAACACCTTAGACAAACTGAGGTTAGTGGCGGAGGAGGAGGAGAAACGGGGCACTTTTTATAAACTGGAGGCCGTGTGAGGAGGTGACCACGGCTGTCCAGGTTCAGGGCCTCAACCAACAGAGGGGAGTCACTGAGGAGCTATAATAACACAAGTGAAAACATCCTTCTCATTATGTCTCACAGGAGGAGCCGTCTGGGGTTCTTCTGAAGGAGACTGCGAAGGTTGCTAAATAAGGTTTGTCTGAGGACACGTCGAAGGCCGAACGTGAAAATGAAAACCTCTCTCAATAGGGAGGGAAAAAGAGACGGATGAACTCCTCAACCAGAGAATCATATAGTCAACATCAGCTAAAATTACCAATTTAGCATGAAAACACATGTTAGCGTGGATAAATCTTCCTCTGATTCAGCGCACTCACCTAAGGTACCGCAGGGTTTGTTCTTGTAGGTGCAGATGTCATACCTAAAGAAGAAAAAGGGGAAAAGAACACAAACATATTAACTCTAAACCTTTTTTTGTACAGTATTTTCTTTCACTGGCTCTTTTCCATTCCATTCTTTCCGTGTTTAATCACACAAGTCCGGCGAGATCTAATCTCAACCTTTAGCATAACAATAGCATCTAATGAAGTTGTTGCAGGTTTGGTTCTAGAAACACCTGGTTCATTCCTCCATCTGTACGCACGAGGCTCGCGCAGCTAACACACAGCGCTCTCAGAGAGCAGAGTGAAAGGCTTCGCTCATGCTGTGTCCCTACTGTTAACCCCCGTAACTCACACACAGGTAATCCAATAGAGCGCAGGGGGAAAAAAAGGCCAGAACACTCTGAGCCACATCGTACATTTCAAATGTATGATCCAATCATTGCTAAAGCTTTTAATCTATTAAAACCAAGGGCACAGCAAATTTAATTTCATTCTCCTTCCCCTCTCTCCCTCCCTCGCTCTCTCCCCATAAACTCCTCTCTCTCCTCCTCCTCCTCCTCCTCCTCCTCCCTCCCCAGTGGAGCGGCTCCAAATCAGTGAGGTACAATCGTGACCTCGTTTAGGACGTCTGTTTGTTTTGATTTATTCCCCTAATTTCCCTCGGTGTCTTTTTTTGAACGTGACAGGCCACATTCCAAACAAGGCGGCGCAGGCTCAAAATGGGACTGACAAAGAAGCAACAGTGCTGTGCGGAGCTCACAATGAAGATGAAAATTAAGATAAGGTTGAGAACGGTGAACCGTTGCAATGAAAAGTGCTGCAACTAACTGTTATTTTCATTATTGATAATTATTTCTTGATTAATAATTTGGTCAATAAAATGTCAGAAAATAGAGATAATCACATTTTCCTAAAGCCCAAGATCAATGTCTTGTTCTGTCCGACCAACGCTCCAAAACCAACATATATTCAGTTTATAATGATATAAAGCAGAGAAAGGCAGCAAATCCTTACGTTAGAGGAGCTGAAATGTTTGTGTTACTGCTTATATATAAATTATAAATTATTAAAATAGTTGTTTCAGCTCTACTTCGATCACTGATCCAAAGACAAATTGCTCCAAATGTATGAAATAAATAATAATGCCCTCTGAGCTGCAAGCATCAGCCATGTTAAAAATCCTACTGAACCTTTTTAGGTGTGTTCCACCATTGCGAGGAATGTACTGACTGCTCCTCCAGACATGGTGGTTAATGAGGGCTTCCTGGTGTCTACCATCAGCTATTTATACTATCTCCAATGTTAGCATCTCTGAGCTCAGCTGGTGCCTCCTCCCCACAGCTTATTATCTCATTATCTTTCGCCTACTTTTGCCTCGTTTTTACTCAGTATTCACCAATACTATATTTACTCCACATTCACCAATACTTCATCACATGGGGTTAAGCACTGCACTGTGGTAAGTTGTTGACAGGCCTAATAGCAGTGTTGACGTGCGCCATCTACAGGCAATAATGGCTTCTACGAAACTGACACGTGTGTCACCTGCAGGGATTAAAGAGAACTGCAGGTTTACCCTTTAAGAAGCTGCTTTTTGGGTGTGTTTTTGAGGTTTTACACCTCTTAAATAACTACCATTGGTTTACTGAAATTAAAATAACTTATAACAAGATTAAGAATCTACAGCCATGCTAGCAGATCTGTAATGCCAGCATGCTAACATGCCCACACGCTAAAATGCTAACACATTGAAGTTTTGCCATGTTCGCCATACTCAGAGGGCTAATTTTTTAAACAAATACCTTTATTAAGAGTTAGATTTAAGATTTACTGGAAAAATAAATTGGATGACATATACATTGATACCAATAAGATACCGATATATCTACGACAGGCCAGTATCGTAGACATATCGGTCGGGGTCAAGTCACTAAATTTGTCGCTAGTCTAGAAATACATTTGTTAAGAGGGTCTGAAAAGTAATTAAACCTACCAATAAAGCTGCCAAGTTGGCATCACTGTGCAGTGTGGCATGTTTGGACACGGTCTGACATTTGACATGCAGCTCCCCCAGTGGACTATATGTGCTATCTGCAGGTTGCTGAACATGAATGAGTACGTTTATGTAAGTCCCATAAGGTGTTTGGTATCTAAATTTAAAATTTCATTGATAATGAAAAAGATCACAGCCAAATAGATAAACCCCATGACCCCTGCATCTAGACTGTACTAAACAGCCTTTGGTGCTGGTGCATAGTGAAGCTAAAACCAACAATAAAAACAGGAGCCAAAGGAATTGGAGAACATCAGCTGACAGACAACAAGCAAGAGCACACTAATGATAGAAAGGCTGTTTTGTACAGAGCCCAGAAAGTCAAAAAGCTTGGCTTTAGCCCATGTCAATCACAGAACACCATCCTCTCTCTAGACAAAACCAGTGGGGGGAATATAGTTGCTAGGTTATGTGGCCAAACAGTTCTGGCAACAATGAAGCCTATTCCAGGTAATGACAGAGGTTTGCTGTTTTATGGTAACACCCATGACATAAATTGCAGTGTGACAGGTACAGTGCGTCTGAAACAGCACATTTTATTTCCAGAACTGAGGTCTTTATTCCCATCAGCTTTAACAGTTACAGGTAAAGTCTGTGCACAAGAAGTGGACATTTGGAGGTGTGAGTACTGAAGCTGCTGGCCATCTCTACTAGCACTCACACACACACACATCTACAGTCTGAAACTGAACTGTGACTTCACAGCTTTTATGCGCCAAGCGCACAGAAAATAACCTGCAACCTATTTGTTCAAAATGTGAAAATTAGCACTACTTACAATGAAAGTAACAACTGCAAGAAACAATTTACCCTTTGAAGCATATGAAGCCATGCTGGATCCTTATGCTAGTGTGTGAGCAAAATGTGGTCCATACGTGTAAATGTGAGCTAACACTTACCGGGTGATTAGGACAGCGTTGTCATGATGAGCCATCCCATTTTCAGGAATGCTGTTGCCATCGCTGTGATGAGACAGGATGGACTTCTGCCACTTACAGAAACTGTCCAGAGACTTGTCAGCATGATGGTTAATCTCCAGGTTTGGCTGCAAAAGACAACGCGCATGCAATACGATGAAACATGATAGATAGATCGTGCCGTATCGTGCCCAATTGTGTCGCGTTGTATCATGAAGAAGAAGATGAAGATATATTTTATTAATCCCCAATTGTGTTGTTTCATAACATGTCGCATTGTATTGTGTTGCCTAGTGTTGAATTTGTGTCCAATCAAATCAAATCGTGCTGTCGTACTGGGTCGTAACATATTGTGTCATATCATGTAACGTATGGTGTCATATGGTGTCATGTCGTATTGTATTGCGATGTGATGGGTCCTGTCATGCCCTGTTGTATCGTATCTTATTGTGTCCTGTCACCTCCTGTCCCTGCCAAAGTAGAACGATTATCTAGATGAATTATTTGGAGGAGAGTTGTGCTGGGATCAGAGGAAGGTTAGAGGACAAGTTGTTGGAAGAGCAAAAAAGTTTTTGTGTTTGATTTAAGAGAAGATTCAGGCGTAGTAAAGGTAAACCCATTTATAGCAGGAAGAGTTAGATGAGTCAAAGAAGGAGTAGAACAAGGACTTGTATTATTCAAAAAAAGTAAGAGATGGGGAAAGAAGACTAGCAGGAGAAGAAGGAGTTGAGGAAGTTGTCGCAGAGTCTGCAAAATGCATCTACTTCCATGAATGTAATGGGTTCAGCTACAGTAAACCATTGCCTCGCCAGCCAGTGATGCGGTGTTGATTTCAGCGTGCCCTCTGATTAATTACAACACAATGCTGAACAACTCAACAGCCCATCAGTGACTCACTTTCCCCATAAAATGTTGTTTTGTCTGTATTTTCTATTCATTTTATCCAAAACAAGGACTGAGAGACAAGTATTTCCTCCCAATTGGATCAAAGTGCGGCCCCGCTTTACACGAAAACTTGTTTTTTGGACTTGATGCTACTAAAGAGCCGCTATGACCCCTTTAGAAAAAAAACAGATGCTAGGAGGACACTCTGTTTCTCCCATCACACATACATACACATGTACAGTGCATGTAAAAACCCTCAATCGAGGCTCCCCGTGGGAAGATGCCTGAGCACATCTTTCATCTGAAGTGGTGGCCATATGGTGAATAGTCTCTCTTCTCTCTCCCCCCTTCAACCACGGCAATCACATAAAATACTGCAGCTCACTCACGCCAAGCGTATCAGTTATATACTGGCTACAGGTGAGGGTAAAGACACTATAAAAAGGGCTCACGTGATAGTACTGTATTGACAGTTCAAAGTTAGGGAAATTAATGAAAGAGACAGTAAAACTGACAAGAGGTTGGGGTAGAAATAGAGTTCTTCTTACCTGATCTTCAGTCAGAACAATCAACCGGGTCACAATAATGTTCACAACATTTCCTAGACTGGCATCACGGTAAAGTTTGGCAACCTGACCTCCAGAAAAGAAGAAAAGACACAAAGTCAGACAAATTGTGTCCAACTGTCACAACCTCTCATCTTCAACCATTATCGTAGACATCCATTAACTAAACCGCGCAACAATGGAGAAATTATGTTCAACAGTGTGTTGGAACGTGACCAAAAAGTAGGATCAAACTTACAATATTCATTACAGACAAGATGTAGTGCTCAATGTCTTTGCGTCCGTGGTAACCGACCATCATTTTATCAGCGACCACAAGCGTCTCCACGAAGCGCTCACTGCTAACGGAGCGCCTCTGTCTGTGGGTGCTGTTCGACTGCTCGCTGTCGTTCTGGGGTGCGGGGGACGAGTGGACAGGGGATGGCGTGCTGGACTGGCAAGGTGCACTGCTTTTAATGAGGTCTGTGAACGACAGGGAGACAAAGACAGGTTATAGTGAATTATTAAATCATACTTCATAATGATGATGCATTGTCGGTTTGAGAGAGAGCTGGTTTGTGTATAGTAGATGCAGGGAATCTGCCCCTTTGAACCTTGCAGCTAAAGCCTTTGCTTTATGACCCAGATGCTCTGGGAAAAAGCTATAAGATGGTACATGTTAAGGCATGCTAGCTTCCTGGCGATGACAGCCTTTGCTGTTTCTTATAAGACCTTGGCCCAAATACCTAAATATCCACCTGGTTCTTTTTCCAATTCGTCATATCTTTGCAGACACAGCATTTGGTGGAGTTGTTTGAATTTCTAAAATCTGAACATGATTGTTGGTTCTATAAATAGGATTTGTGCTTCTATAAAAGTCAGAGCCAAGTACTCTTTATGTACTGAAGGCCCTTTTGTGAAAGCTGGCGGGAGACTTTTTCTTGCAGGTTGAAAGGTGTCCAGGCCAGGAGCAACTATAGCACACAAGAGGCCCGGTCATGTCTACCGGAACCTGGGCCTAGAACCAAACCAGCACTTCCTCTAACCTGCTATGTATAGTTATTCCTTTACGTCAGTTCCACCCACACAGAGTCCAACCCAGATGGAGGTTCACCAACCTGAAATGCCACAGCTGAACTCCTGGCTATGCTCTTGTGGTGAGGGAATGGCAGACATTTTATAAATAACATGTTGCTGTGCTTCTTCCAGGTTCCATTCACCGGAGGTGGTGGAGGATATGTTCTTTAATGGCTCTATCATATACTGTTCGTCCTCTGTTGTTATAACACCGTGCTTGTTGGGGGGAAAAAATCAATGAGAAACAGGTTACAAACACAAGCCAACATTGAACACATCTTAACACAACACTTTTGTTCTATTAAAGGTGCACTCCTCCTGTTTTACACAGTTTACTTGTAACTGTGTGCTCAAACAGAATACAATGAAAACCTAAAGAACCAGTGTGGAAGATTTAGTGGCATCTAGCTGTGTAGTTGCAGCTTGCAACTCCCTCACTTCACCCTCTACTTACAAGTGTGAAGGAGAAACTACAGTGGCCGCGAAATGTGTGAAAACTGCAAATGAAACATGGCGGTTCAACATGGCGGAGCACACGGAAGGCGACCCGCAGCGTCTGTAAATAAAAACGTCTTATTCTAAGGTAACAAAAAGATAACAGTTCCTATATTCAGGGAATTATACACAAATGAAAACATAGTTATGCATATTATATTCAATTTCTGCTAATAGATCCTCCTAAATGTGACACACTGGATCTTTAATAGGTGATGCGATTGCATACAAACTTAACGGAAAGATGTGATTAGACCCAAAGTAGAGCAAAAAGACATGTCTGAGTGAAAAAAGGGGAGAGAGACTGGAGTAGTTTCAGACACACAAGTCTGTTGCTAGCTAGCTTAAAGCTAACGTCTGTGCATTTGATGAATTGGCTGTTTGAGTTGAATAAACTCAAATTAGCACAAATGACATTAGGCAATGACATCATCAGGGTTATCTCATCGTGGGCTGGGAGACATTTTCACAGAAAGCTGACCTCACAAACTGGGGATGTGGAGAGTGAAATACATGAACATTTACCAGATAAAGAAACTCTGATGAAAGATGCTTTTGAGTTGCATTATGGGAAATGTAGGATCCAGCATTTTTGGATAGTAAGGGCCAAAAGTTAGGAAATCATTTGCTGCTTCGATTTTTTTTCGTTACGGTGTCTTTTAAGCCTCTCAACTTGAAGAAGTACAATACTTAATATATATATATAGCTGGATCACGAAATAAATAACGAATATATTCCCTTATGTAATCTCTCCCTGATGGGGTGATGTTTTAGCACATACAAAACATTAATTACTACTCTGCAGTCAGATTTAAGAATCACTAACAATCAGTTACATCAAGACCAACACTAAAAGCAATGTTCTTAATCCTTCAACACTCTCTACGAAGCATAAACAGAGAGAAGTCCTTCAAAATGAGTTTGTAGAAAACACTTTTCTTGCTCTGTTCAATGAAAGCAATTAAGCAGACATCACACCAACACACAGAAACATATTCAGGGGTTTTAATAGTGTGTGATGTCAAGATCTCAAACTGTCCAAGACAGCTGATTACATTAAAGTACAGACACAGTTTTGTCCATTTTTGGTGCTGTTAGAAAAAAGAGCAAACACTAATTCAATTTATGATACTCCGTGTAGGTCTTGCCAACACATTTGGCTACATGTTTTCTCCACATGATTACATTTGCCAATAAGAAGCAGAGCCTTTTTTTCCCTTCTTTAGAGTTATTCTGAAGCGAGGAGGGATAACAGCTATTAAAACGTCTTCCAATTTCTTGATTAGCAAAGAGAAGCTGGACAGTCACACAGTCTGTGGATAAAAGCCCGAGGACTAAAAGCTTAGACAGCATAATTAGATGCCTTGTTAGTACTGTTCAGTTTTGTTTCTGAACAGAGCACTTATAGTAATATCTACGACTTAGACACATTATGTTACAGATCACAAAAGGGATCAACTACAAGAAATGTGATCTCAACTACTGGGGCTTTTTAAAACCTGAGGATGAAGTGTGATGTTTAACGCACAAATGGAAAGAAAAGATGCTTATCACTAACAGATCACTTAGATGATGTGATTTCTCTCCACGAGCATCGCCGCGCTCCGAGCTGCCTGCAGACTGTGCCAAGTGGACGGAAGCCAAGATTCTGTTAAGCAAACTACAATTGGTCTAATCCTCTGAAAGATTGGCTGACATGAGAGCAGCACAAGCTAGGTATATATTAGTTATCTGACATTAGTTTGAGGGTTTGTTTGAGGTTAGCGGTGTGGCTCAAAGGGCAGTTAGAGAGTGTGAACCGGTCACTTGGAATAATAACAAAAAAAAAGTCACCCTTTGTACTCACCAGGCCTTTGCAGTTGCTGAGCGCCACTCTGGTCGTGCTTTGCTGATTTTGCAAGAATCCAACATAGTGACAGTTATCTACCAGGTTATGACGCCACTCCAGCCCTTCTTTGCCCCAATACTCCACTGTAAAATGTTTTGACACTAGGTGGGGGTTGAGCGTCAGGTTTAAGTGAAAGTGCTTTCCGTAGGCTGACAGTCTGTAGAAGAGCCGGGACTCTCGGGGGTCCGGGTCTAACGCAGGCGGCTGTCCCATCATGGGGTCCACCGCCCCGCGTCTCCGTCGGCCCGGCCGGTGGTGCTTCACAGTGTAGCTCAGGAACTCTCCGTTCTCATCCACCAGCGCCGGGACAGTCAGCTGGTAGTGCTGCAGGTAGGACAGGAACTCCTCTTTTACAGGAGAAAGAAAAGAAGAGATAATGTGATAATGAACACACTGCTGGTTAAAGATCCTCCTGCGCAATCTATCATACCTTGAGAGTTGTGTGAAGGTCTGTTGATGCTTTGAAATTCAGAAGCAGCCATCACCACCAGGCTCAATGTCCAAGTCAGCGTCTTCCACAAAATTTCCATAATTCAGGGAAAGCTGTGACATGGGGTGAGGGGTAGAGGGTGCTACAAACGGGTTAAAAGCACACGGTCGGTCCGATGCCACACCATAACAAGTCCATGGTTTGTCTCCTTCACTTGAATTTTCTCGTTGTGCTCGAGGGCTCATCCAGGTCTCAGATTTCTCCTGAAGGCGAGCACTTCCACATCTCACTGGCCTCTGAATTCATGTCAGCAGCTCGTAGAAAACAGCGTAATCCATCAGATGCAGTCACTCTCAGGTGTAACTCCAAACACGAAGCTCTATATTGATAACTTGTCTTGACCGATCCATCTGAATTCCTGCAGAGGAAACCAAGCAGGGGTTACATGACCTTTTTATCTCTTGGCTTAATCAGAAATGGTTAGTCACTTCAATTAATCGATTAATCGACCGACAGGAAGTTTATCTGCAACTTTTCTAACAATCGGTTGATCATTTTAGTCTTTTCATTACATTTTTTAAAAACATTTGCTGATTTCAGCTTCACAAATGTGACAGTCCACTGCTGTTGTTGGTTTATTTCATTTTAAATTGAACATGATTGGATTTCAGACAGCTGGTTGGACAAAAGAAGCAATCTGTAGTTGCAACTTTGGGCTCTGCTCTACATTTTATGACATTTTATAGATCAAAAGGTTTCACTGATTAATCTGCCAATGATTTTCTTAATCAATCAATTAATTTTTGTCTACAAAAGAGTGAGAAGCTGGACACTGGAAGTTCGTCAGAGTTGTGGGTGCTCAGAAAAAGCAAGATATCATATTGTATTTTTTATATCTATATATATTTTAGTGGATAAAATTGATTACAAACAAGATAAAACCTCCTTCCTGCCACAGATATCAGAGTACACATGTAAATCCTCATAGAAAAGGACATGGAGAACATTATTATGAACTTTCATTAGGGGTGCAGCAGCCACCTCAGCACCCCTTCTTTCAACAACCATGATGAACATCGTTGAATTGCTTTTTTTAATCTGACCAAGAGACCAAAACACAAAGATGATCATTTAAAATTGACATGAACCAACAACAAGCAACACATTCTCACATTTAAGAAGCTGGAATCAGAAGAAGTTTGCTGTTTTTTTGCTTAAAAAACTTACTTAAACGATCAATAAATTATGTGAAATGGTTGCTGATTAATTTTATGATCGATTAATTGACTAATGGTTGCAGCTTTGATTCAAATAACCACTAACTGAAGACCTGGTTTGTGCTAAAAGTTCAACATCTTATAATATAAAGTCTGATTGTTCAACTTTAACACTTAACAACGTTGCTTTTAGCCACATTTGTGCCATTAATTCAATATTCATGAACTGGAGTGACCAAAACGAGGCTGTGCAGTGCAGCTGAAGCCACATTAATACGCATGCATAAATCTTAACAGCGCCAATGGTGATGACTAGTCGACATGATATAATTTCTGCAGGTTGTGGTTTTACTCACTGACGCGGCAGCATGTGCAAACTACACAGCTATAAACAAACGTCAGCGGATCCAGGTGATAGACGGATGGTGTCCAATGAAAGTGACCGGCACTCCAAACACGGATGACAGCCTTTGGAAATGAGGATTTTGTATGTGTGAATGTGAGTGTGTGAGTGTGTGTGTCTTCAAGCTCTGGCTCCAGCACTCCAGACAGACAGCGCTACTTACTTGGCCACTCTGACCCAGACAGTTGGCAGCCGGCCCGTGTGCATTACACCGGTACCTCAAATACAAGCCTCAAGGAGCGTCTGCGAAAATCCAAATTAACCACCTGACATCGCTTTGACGCGTTTGTGCTCTTGTTGCAAGCAAAAATAAAAAATAAAATAAAATAAAAAAAGAGCTCTGTTAGGAAGTTTTGTAAGTTCGTCTGAGCCCTGCAGATGTGGACCTGCTGTAACGCTTTTTTTTCTTACACCCTGCAACTGTAGATCCGGTGCGTAAATGTTTCCAAACGCGCAAATTTTCCGCGCAAAAAACTCTGTGAACTCGCTGTGCCTGAATGAGCAGCAGCCTACAACTGGCTAAATGCTGGGGTTTGTAAACACTCTGCTTCCCTGAGAGGATTTAAATGCTCACACGACAAACCCCCCCTATCCTGAAAGACATCCGTAATTCTCACGAACAGCGTTAACACATAGTTACCATGCTCATCTTCATTGTCAGCTCCGGTCCAAGTGTGCAGGCAGAGCTCAGGACAAAAGACGTGTGCAGCTCTGAAGTTCCGCACACAAACCTCTGCTGCTCTCCTCTTTTCATCTCCCTTTGGACTCCTCTGCCATCCTCTAAAACTGCAGTGTGAGTCTCCCCTTCTGAGCAGCAGTATCTCAGACACTGTGTCACACACACACACACACATACACACACACACACACAACAAAAAAAGCAGTTATTCAGCTTTTCAAAGTCTTGGATTTCCTCCAGCAGAAGGGTCTATTTTCAGCTCTATCTGTCGTCTTTATAATCTAGACTTTGTGTTCTTGGTGGTGGCTCAGAGTGGCTTAAAAAGTGAGCTGAGGTTGCAGAGGGTGTTCTGCCACCTCAGGAACCGCCACAGCGGCAGACTGCTCCTCAGAAAAGTGCATGCAAAACACCAGCAGGAGGAGAAAAAAAAAGTTGGCTTGGAGCTGCTCCTCCTCACTACATTGCAGAGACCGGGTATGTCCCAGTACAGGACAGCTTCAAATTGGCAGCTTTTTC